TGATAAAAATTACAGTCTTCTACAAGCTTTGCAAGTGGGAATACCTGAAAAATCAACAGTGTATCAAATACTTGTTCTCCCCACTGTATCTGGTGTGGCATGCCAGAGAGAAAATGCTGCTACTACTTTCTACCAGAGACCAAAAAGTGCAACGAGAAAGCATGAAAAGGTAACCGTTAAACTTCATGAGCAGAAACTGAAATATCTGAAAGAAGAGCATAAAATGAAAAATAAAATTTTACAGGTTGAATAGGATATAAAAATCAGGGCTGCTCAAAGCTATGCTGAACAATGGGATTAAATAAATTGTTTAAATAAAATGTTCTCTCATTTGGCAAGACTGTTAGTAATGTCACCACAAACTACATTTTAAATCAGCCTTGGTGGTTCATTTTTCTGCATACTTTTACATTTTGTACACAACAAACACTACTAAAGCCTAAATAAGCCATAATCAATATACTCCATGGTTTAATACATCTTTATGTAACTGAAGTGCTGCAATGTGAAAGCATTGACATCCCAGTGCCAGTGGTTATTTCCTGCCACTGCCACTGGCACATCATCATCCTGATCTTCCATTGGAGGATCTGGACAATCATGCTGCTTCAGGNAAAAAGAGCTGCTAAAAGTATAAATAACTGTGTTAAATCATTTTCATTTATTCAGAAGCCGCAGCATTTATTCTCAATACTTCATGCTGCCAAACTGTCTGTGCTCCCTTTCACAGAGAATACTAAGCAGAAGTTAAACCTGCCTCCTTGAGGGATTAATTTAAGCTTTAATTTAGTCACAGAGTAGTTCTGATCCACCTTCCTGCAATTGGCTTTGTTTAATACAGAATAGACTAAATCTGCGACTATTTTAAGACACGACTGTGCAAGGGACTTAGAGTTAAACCAGCTCAAACAGCATTTTAGTCTGAGATTAGCCTTGAGCCTTGTCTGCAAAACCTGCCCTTAATTTACATATTTATTTATTCTTCATCATGTCTCATTAGCTCATATTTGAAAGAAAATACAAGTTCATCACTTCATCAGGACCTGAGAGACACATTTTTTTGCATTTGAGTGTATTTGAAATGACAAATACAAATGACTAAACAGACGTTTAACAAATAATTAACTTTTAGAAGAAGAAAGGATACAGATCTGGGAGAACTGCACACATGTGTCACTATGGGAAAAAAAGACAACGTTAGAATAAAATTAATCACAACCAAATTGAAGAAAAAAACACACAAATTGCAGTTTTCTGGGCACAGTGGTGGAGAGTTGACAGTTCAGGCTCCTTGTGGTCCTTGAGCTGACCGTGAACATGTCTGTAGACCAAACAATTTTATAATCCAACAGCTGAAACTTGGACCAAACTGAGTCATGATGAAACAGTACAATGATCCCAAACACAGCAGCTAATAAATCTACAATAAAATGGCTCAGTATCCAGACTAAGTTCAGAACCTCAACCTGATGGAAACCTGTGGTGGAACCTTACAAGAACCGAGCAAAACCAATGTCTGAAACTTCAATGAAATGAAGAAACATTGGGAAGAAGAGTGGGACAATATTCTCCCACAACCACGTGGGTTGTGTTGCTGCTGCATCACAGGCTGGGCTTAAGTTTTAATAACGAGACTTGTCAATCATTTTATTATATATTTCCCTTTTTGTGACTATAATTTTCATCTACTGTATTTCTAACAGAGAGGGCTAAATATGCATGTGAAAGTCATTTTCAAAGTTAATTTGATTTCTATAGTTTTCAAGATGTCTGGCTTGGCACTTTATGACTCTCAAAATATATCAAAAACTTCCTCTTTGTAAAGAACTAAACGGTGGTCTGCAGCAGCTTTATTGTCCCTAGTTCCTTTTTGTGTACAGCTCTGCTGCTGGTGGTCCCACTGCCTAACTGCAGGTATTATGCTAGGTTTTCTCATGGCTCAGTGAAAAGCATTCACAAGAGATTAGGCTTTAAATCATCATCATTAGTTTAAAAAGATAATAAAAGCAAAAAAAAAAAATTATATATGGAAATTGTTACTTTGTGTATATTTTAAGGTTTTAAATTATTCAAATTTGACCTCAAGTATACAAAAACACAAAAGAAGCTGTAAGTTAAGGCTTTTTAGATGTCTTCATTCATTCATTCATTCAGGCATGCGTGCATGCATGCACCATCCTGCAATAGTCAGTTGAGGTCTTGTGTTCATGCGACTTTTTTTCTTGTGGGTAGAAAGCTGAAAAGTTTGTGACTGCTAAGCTGAACGGCAAAAATTTAAGTTTTGTTAAATAAAGATTTGTGTAAATCAAGCTTTAGTTTGTTTTGTTCATTGGAAAATTTGTATGGCTCAACCTCAAATTGAGACTTTTTTTTGCTACTGTACTGACCAATAAAGCAACATAATTCAGATCAACAACATTATACACTGCTCAAAAAAATAAAGGGAACACTTAAACAATGCACACTAAGTCCAAGTAAATCAAACTTTTGTGAAGCACATTCAACTCTGTACAGAACAAAGTACTCAATGCGAATATTTCATTGATTAAGATCGGGAGTTAGCGTGTTTTGTTTAAGTGTTCTCTTTATTTTTTGAGCAGTAGTGTTCCCTTTATTTTTTTGAGCAGTGTATGTATGTATGTATGTATGTATG